GTCCAGAATAGGACTCAACATTTACATTAATTTAACTAAGTCCAGAATAGGACTCAACCATACATGTACACTAAAGTCCAGAATTGGACCAATATTTTACACCAAGTCCAGGATTTTACAATAAGTCCAAGATAGGACCAATAATTTACACTAAGTTCAGAATTAGACCAATATTTTACACCAAGTCCAGGATTTTAACCAAGTCCGGAATTGGACCAACATTTTAACTACTGTAAGTCCAGAATAGGACCAATAATTTACACTACAGACCAGAATTGGTCCAACAAAAACTAAAATTCAGAATTTTATCTATAAGCCATTTTAACTAAGTCCAGAAGATTAACTCACAATGGGACCAGCCTTTTAAATTAAGTTCTGAATTTGACCGACATTCTATTTTTAACTAGGTCCAGAATCAGACAAAATCTTAAGCATTTTGAAAGGTCAACACTTACTTTACTTAATAAATCACAAACTTCACTTGGCAAACAGTACTTCAATTTATAATCATTCATTTTATGAATGCACAACAAATGTCTGTTGTGGTTTAGACTTTCCACAATTTATCTGCTTCATCTCCATACATCAGGGTTCACTAAAGCTTCAAGTACCAGTATACCTGTCTCTTATACACATCTAGATGTGTATAAGAGACAGCAACTTCTGAGAGGCATATATATCTTTCAGCGGGGCCAAGGGTGGTGGGTGGCGCGTAGGTTCCACGCGTGGCGATCGCCTATCATAGGCGATCGCTTCCGCTTGGATAATCCCAACTGTCTTATTGCGCGAAATGCTGCCGAAATTTTCAAAAAAAGTTTCGTTAACATTTATTGGATTGTATGTGTTGTTTGAAATACAGTATGCTACAAAAGAGTTGTAGTACAATGAATATGGTGTTGCAATTAGTTTTATTCAAGTCCAGAAATTTAACTAAGTACAGAATAGGACTCAACCATTTACAGTAAGTCCAGAATAGGACTAAGCCATTTACACTAAGTCCAGAATAGGACTCAACCATTAACACTAAGTCCAGAAATTTAACTAAGTCCAGAATAGGACTCAACCATTTACATTAATTTAACTAAGTCCAGAATAGGACTCAACCATTTACATTAAGTCCAGAACCATTTACATTAATTTAACTAAGTCTAGAATAGGACTCAACCATTTACATTAAGTCCAGAACCATTTACATTAATTTAACTAAGTCCAGAATAGGACTCAACCATTTACATTAATTTAACTAAGTCCAGAATAGGACTCAACTATTAACACTAAGTCCATAAATTTAACTAAGTCCAGAATAGGACTCAACCATTTACATTAATTTAACTAAGTCCAGAATAGGACTCAACCATTTACATTAAGTCCAGAATAGGACTCAACCATTTACATTAAGTCCAGAATTTTAACTAAGTACAGAATAGGACTCAACCAACCATTTACATTAAGTCCAGAATTTTAACTAAGTCCAGAATAGGACTCAACCATTTACATTAATTTAACTAAGTCCAGAATAGGACTCAACCATTTACATTAAGTCCAGAATAGGACTCAACCATTAACACTAAGTCCATAAATTTAATTAAGTCCAGAATAGGACTCAACCATTTACATTAAGTCCAGAATTTTAACTAAGTCCAGAATAGGACTCAACCATTTACATTAATTTAACTAAGTCCAGAATAGGACTCAACCATTAACATTAATTTAACTAAGTCCAGAATAGGACTCAACCATTAACACTAAGTCCATAAATTAACTTAGTCCAGAATAGGACTCAACAATTTACATTAATTTAACCAAGTCCAGAATAGGACTCAACATTTACATTAATTTAACTAAGTCCAGAATAGGACTCAACCATTTACATTAAGTCCAGAATTTTAACTAAGTCCAGAATAGGACTCAACCATACATGTACACTAAAGTCCAGAATTGGACCAATATTTTACACCAAGTCCAGGATTTTACAATAAGTCCAAGATAGGACCAATAATTTACACTAAGTTCAGAATTAGACCAATATTTTACACCAAGTCCAGGATTTTAACCAAGTCCGGAATTGGACCAACATTTTAACTACTGTAAGTCCAGAATAGGACCAATAATTTACACTACAGACCAGAATTGGTCCAACAAAAACTAAAATTCAGAATTTTATCTATAAGCCATTTTAACTAAGTCCAGAAGATTAACTCACAATGGGACCAGCCTTTTAAATTAAGTTCTGAATTTGACCGACATTCTATTTTTAACTAGGTCCAGAATCTGACAAAAACTTCAGCATTTTGAAAGTTCAACACTTACTTTACTTAATAAATCACAAACTTCACTTGGCAAACAGTACTTCAATTTATAATCATTCATTTTATGAATGCACAACAAATGTCTGTTGTGGTTTAGACTTTCCACAATTTATCTGCTTCATCTCCATACATCAGAGTTCACTAAAGCTTCAAGTACCAGTATACTGTACACTACATAATTCAAACAAATAATAGTCTATTTCTCAATTGTTCATTACTTCATTTCTATACGTTAAAATTTGACTTCCACGCTTTATCTCAAAGTCTGATGTTGCTAAGCTTCAGTTACCAGGGTTCAAACTAATCAGTCCTGATTTCCCACAATGCATTTCTTTGCTCAACCTTCTCTACAGCTTGGGTTTGCCCCAGTTTGTCAGCTTTAGTTATCCAAGCTTTCAACAAATCGGACTGGACATCCAATTGTTTATCTGCTTCATGCAATAACAAACTCTTACTGAATGCCTGTCTTCGCAAATCCACAATAAACATGTGCCTGTGTTTTTCTGAAAAATATAGAACAAGAATTTATGATAGTACAATTACACTATTAAATAACTGCAAGTATTACAATAATATCATCTACTTAAATAAGATGACAGCAGCCATTTACAAGATACATAATATACAGACTTATTGTTGAACAAGAATAAAAACAAATTTAATTTTTGAATATGCTAGTAGAAGTTTTAACATTGCTATAAGTTTTTTTTCCTGAAATACTGAATACTGTACTTTGAAATTTAAAGTACTGTATTAATTTTACAAATTACAATAAAAAATATTCAATTTATTTACAAACAAGTGCCATGTAAATATAGGATATATGAGTTCTGTAGTGTTGCATTGTACAATAGGCTATTAGTTCTAATACATAGGGCTAAAGACGAAGACTATATCGAGGATGATGAGGTGTAGAATTATTGATAGAGGGTTGGTCTTTGATAAATAAATTAACCAAGGACTGAGGAGGGGGGGGGTGGGTGAAATGCCACGTGATGGCAGTGGCATATCTAGGAGGCTTGAAATGAGGGTAAGTGGGGGTCATGATCAGTTCTATGGGCACTCAAAAAATAAAGTGATTTTAAGGATTTACAACTTATTTTTTTTTTTTTTTATATTTTGCACACCCCCTAGATACGCAATCTGATGGTACCAAGATCTGCCCAAAGCGAGCCTCTAGGCTGGTGGTCAGAGGCCGCCAAGGAAGCTGTGGGTATTTGACAAACTTAGGTGAATTTTATTATTTATGCTTATCAGGCATCGAGCTACTGTAATATTACTTCCATAATCACAATCAATTAATAATAATAATAATATGTTATTCTTATATAGCGCTTCATGCCTTTACAAAGCCTCTAAGCGCTTCACATTACTACCCCGGTCATTGGATCAAACACAATTGGAACACATTGAACACCAAATTAAATTATTAAATTAAATTATGTTATTATTCCATAATAATATAGCGCCTTTCTTAATACAGATACGAAGGGTTGCAATAAGCTTTCCAAAATTTTATACCAGACCAATTATTATACAAATGAAATAGTACCAAATTAATCAAATTTTCAAAACTATCTTCAAAATGTTAATATTATTATAAATTTAATCAATTACAAAATTTATAATTAGATAATAAATATAGTAAGAAATTTATTCTGTTTTCCTATCTTATCAATTAATTTTAAACCTGGTACTTGAATTGTAAATATTAACAAATAATGTTCTTCTAAATTATAAAATAATTTTCTTACCTGTTGCAAGGTGCTTAGTGGTGGTGTGCTCATGGCTTGAAGATCACACAACTTTTTTCATATTCTGAAATATGGAATATTTAGAAATAAGTAATAATTTACAATAAAAAGTATTCAATTTATTTACAAACAAGTGCCGTGTAAATATGGGAAACATGAGTACAGTACAAATGTATTTGAAGAAGTTCTGTAGGGTTGCACTGTACAATAATCTTTAAAGTTCCAGTACATAGAGCTAAAGACAAAGACTATATCGAGCATGATGAGGTGCAGGATAATTGATGAGGGTTGGCTTTTGATAAATAAATTAACCAAGGACTGAGGAACTACCTGCAGGCCAATGCAGCAAAATGATTTGAGTGTGAAGTGGGGGGGGGGGGATTTTATAATGTAATTCACCACGTGATGACAGTGGCATACCTAGGAGGCCTGAAATGGAGGTGGTTATTGAGGCGCATAGAGTAATTGGGGGCTCGACAGGCCCGTAGCCAGGGGGGGTTTTTATGGTTCGGGCGAACCCCCCTTTTCTAGCGAACCCTCCTGTTTTCTAGCGAACCCCCTCGAATTTTTGAATGAGTCCCACCCGTTTTTAAATTGTAGCCTGCATTACAAGCCTACATTCATAGAATATGTCAGCTTCAGAAGTTCGGAGATTTAAATTAAAACGCAATTCCTTTACGATGGCACACATAAGGATGGCAAACATCGATAAAAACACGGTTGCCGTCTCAACTTTCACTGGCCTTTGGCTGAATGTTTGTAAGAAATGTACCAACCGGTAACGAAACCGGTCGCCGTCTACCTAGAGTAAATGGTGCCACCAAACGAAGCTAAAGTTTTGCGATTTAATCCACCAAATGCAAATAAAGTTTTGCGACTTAATCACCTAAATGTGGATTGTGTGGTTAGTAAATTCCATAGCCATACTGTCCATCACGCACACTAAACTATGTACTGATGGAGCATTTTGAGGAAAAGGACTCTCCTTTTTTTTTCATCCCAAACAATATATTATTAATAAATCAACATAGTCCATCTCAGTCATCATAGCCAGTCTCAAAATTAGGCTAGGAAGTTTGTTTTAAACAGCAGACACGCTACAGAACGGAGTGCGTCAAAACGAGTATTTGTTAATGTTTAGTGATAAAGAATCATGAAACGTTGTAGAATAACCGACTTTTTTTCGTCCGCTGTTGCAAAGAAGAAAAGGACAGATAGTCCTGGTGGGTTATTGATTTTAAAATCAATTAGCCTAGCCTAGATGTTGACTAGCTAGGTTCGCTCCTTGTTCATTTAGATACAGAATTATACCCCGACGACAACAAAGTGTAGGCCTATAGGCCTAAGTACAGAAGAACGTACTACAGGTAGGCCTACTAGGCCTAGGCTTTTGTTGTAAAAGTTGAAGTGCATGTACAGGATGCGCCATAGGCCTATATTTAAAAAAAATACAATTTGTTAATTATTATTGGTTGGCCTGGGACGGACCTAGGCAGGCAGGCAGGCCAGCTTTACCGTCGGAAGTCCTGGGATTCGACGATGACGTCCGTGCACGTTTACAAACGCCATTGATTAAGAATGAAAATAGACGCGCTAAATTTCGTGTTTTTTTTTTTTATGAAAGAAAGAATTTATCGAACATTTATCTACATAAAAACAAGAATAATATTGTAGAAATTATAAAATAATTTTCTTACCTGTTGCAAGGTGCTTAGTGGTGGTGTGCTCATGGCTTGAAGATCACACAACTTTTTTCATATTCTGAAATATGGAATATTTAGAAATAAGTAATAATTTACAATAAAAAGTATTCAATTTATTTACAAACAAGTGCCGTGTAAATATGGGAAATATGAGTACAGTAAAAATGTATTTGAAGAAGTTCTGTAGGGCTGCACTGTACAATAGGCTTTAAAGTTCCACTACATAGGGCTAAAGACGAAGACTATATCGAGCATGATGAGGTGCAGGATAATTGATGAGGGTTGGCTTTTGATAAATAAATTAACCAAGGACAGAGGAACTACCTGGATGATTTGAGTGTGAAGTGGGGGGGGGGGGGGATAATGTAATTCACCACGTGATGACAGTGGCATATCTAGGAGGCCTGAAATGGAGGTGGTTATTGAGACGCATAGAGTAATTGGGGGCTCGATGATCAGTTCGATGAGTGCTAACTCGAAAAATAAGGTGATTTTAAGGATTTTTAACTACTTGACTGATTTTTAGGGCGAAGCGCAACTTGGAAGGGGGTGGGGGAGATCGGGTAGGGGATGCATGAAATTTTTGGAGGGGTGTACGCACCCCCTAGATATGTAATCTGCATGATGGTACCAAGCGAGCCTCTAGGCTGGTGGCCTAAAAATGTTATTTTATAGAACCATGTGTGGCAAAGACAAGGCCAGTCACTCGTCGCAAATCAATAATGGCCAAAACATGCTGAAATGTCAACATTTTGAAATCTATTTTAATGCACTAAACTAACTTTTATTATGCCTGCTGCTATTTTCCCCATTTTCAATGTTAAAATAACAATTTTTAACGATTTGATTATAATCTTGGCCAGAGAAATGCCCAAATTTATAAACTTTGAAAGGCTGATTTCTATATTACATTGTTCTTTAATTAGCTCTATGTTTAAATGCTTGTAATTCATGAGGCAATGTCGGATTTAAATAATTCTTTTATCATTTTATAGCTCTCATTTTACTGTTTAACAATGTATTAATAACTAAAAATAAATTGATTTTTGCAACCAGAGAAATGCCCAAATTTATAAACTTTGAAAGGCTGATTTCTATATTACATTGTTCTTTAATCAGCTCTATGTTTAAATGCTTGTAATTCATGAGGCAATGTCGGATTTAAATGATTCTTTTATCATTTTATAGCTCTCATTTTACTGTTTAACAATGTATTAATAACTAAAAATAAATCGATTTTTGCAACCGGTGACTGGTTTGGCTTTTCTTTGCCAATACTGTATGTATGTATAACCTAATCTCACAACCTCACAATGTTTAAACGTTCTTACATCATTGTGTGAACATTATTTTGTGACATACCTAACGTGAACATTATCAGAACATTTTGTGTTTGCTTTGCACATGGCTTAACTCAATATTTTTCATATTCTGAAATAATAAACAGTTAAAAATAAGCAATAATGGTACAAACTTTAAAAAAAACAACAAATCTTTTCGAAAAATGCAAGTAATGACAGTGATGGATCCAGGGTGCAGGGAAAATAAATAATAATAAAACAAATACAGTAGATAAAATCTTTATCATTATTAAAACATAGGCCTGATTAATCAATAAAACTTTTGGAAACATGATGTGATAATAGGAATTTAAATAAATTGACAAAGGTACCCAGCAACAACAATGATATGGAAAGAAAAATCCTAACATAATTTAAAAGAAAAGTAATAATTAATGGTAACAAACTATCGATGCGTTGGTCTCTTTAATGACAAATGGGTTTGCTGCCACTGACAAAGGTGATGAAACTGGAGTTTTGTTGTTGGACTATAAAAGGCTCTAACCTCACCTGCTTTCCTTGTGCCAAAGAACCCACAGAGTGAGAGTTGGAAATCATGTCAAGAGGTGGGATCCCACAGGGTTCCTGACTTGGACCTATTCTTTTTATCATTTTCATAAGTGATTTGGCAGTTGATTTTCATGCAGTTAAATATATGGATGATACTACTGTGTCTGAGAGAATCACCAAAAAGGAAATGAGTGCACTCCAACCTGTATGTGATGAGATCTGCACTTGGTCAAATACAAATAAAATGAAAGTAAATGAGAAGAAGACACAAGAAATGTTTATTACTTTTAAACGTGATAAATCTGATCCCCTCCCCTAAAAGTAAATAGTTTCGATATCATATGTGTTACACAAACTAAATTATTAGGCATTATAGTTCAGAATGATCTTAGGTGGGATGGTCAGGTAACGTCTGTGATTTCGAAATGCAACACCAGAATTTATTTTCTTAAACAATTACGCAGAAGTGGTCTTCGACCAAGAATGCATTACGACATTATTACTGTAGTGTGATTCGATCAGTAGTGGAGTATACATGCCCCTTATGGTTCACAGGTATCAGTTTAGAGACTCAACAGCAATCAATTGAGAGAATACAATGTAGAGCTGTAGCAAGTATTCTCCCTGGTTTTTTTATGGTCATGCTTTGAATTTGTTGAGCATTCCCCGTCTCTCTGACCAATTGACTGATATTTGTAAGAGATACTATAAGAAACTCAAGAAGAATGAGCACTGACTAAATGACTACTAACACTTGCGCCAACTCACTAATATCATCTAAGGAAATTAAAATATGCTTTGCCTAAAGTGAAAACAGAAAGATCAAAGAAATTTATACTTAATTATGGAGCTTTTAACCAATGGTAGATGATTCCTCGCTGCTTACTCTCCTTAATTAAATGCTGCTGAAATTGTAAAATACTGATATTCAACTTTTGTAAATTTTGATTGCACTTTTTATCTTTTACAGAATGCAAAACTTGTAATATAATTAAGCTTCTTTTTTATATCTATTTATAAAATAAATATAATAATGGCTCTATAACTTGTTTTTTTGTAAAATTACTGTAGTAGAAAGACAAATGAATAATATTATTTTAATAAATAATAATTGTTGTTCTATTTTTTATATCTATTTTAAAAATTTCATATAAGCAATCTTCTGTTTTTTTTGTTTTTTTTAAATATTTTTTTTATGTAATATACCTTTTTGACTTATTTTGAATGTACATGTCCTTGATTTATTTGTGAATGTATTTAATTTTTTTGACTACTATTGTAATCCAATCTATATATTATTTTATGATTGCAATAAAGATGAATTTGAAAATTTGAAATACCAATACCAATCAATCAATCAATTTGGTATAGTTTACAGGTATTCCAACAACAAACAATTTATTCAAAATCAACTATGTGCCTCATAGCAGAAACAATCCAAAGAAGTCATTATTTTTCTAAGAAACGAAAAGCATGGTTTCGTTACAATCATTGTCCTGGTGGAAGTAATA